GAGAACACCAGCTAGCTAATGTGGCTTCCTGAAGAGACCACAATGGAATGGGCTTGGTATGAACGGGCTGGAAAGGGACTTGCAAAATGGAGAATTCAAGAGTGAAGGGAACTATTTGAAAGGCTTTAAATAAGAAAACATTATCTAAGCCATGTCTCAAAAGAGTTTTATTACTCCTGTCAGGGATCAGGTAGCATGGTCTGGGCCAGTTGGATATAGAACAGTCAGCAAGAGGCTGAGCAAGGTCCAGGGGAGAGTTGGAGATGGCGCAGGCATGGATAGGTTATGGGAGGCTGGGGAAGTCTCTTCTGCTTCCTAGTATCTCTCACACATCTTGGCGTCTGACCCTTGAGCTCAATGAGTTGGGCTTCTTTCCATGAGCTAGACTAGACATTTATTTTTTCACATCTGTGCAGTATTCACACAGACTAAGATTTGGGATGATTGCCTACAATTTGATCGACCTGACAGGGACAATGGATAAGTGACCAGACATTTTAGGACATATTAGGCACTGCGCTGAAGCAGATGATGGTGGGGATGAATTGTAGCAAGAAGCCACCTGTCCCAAAACAAGAATTGCAGCACCCAGTGCCCAGCACAGGAAGTGCTCAGAGGAGCTCTGCACATCATGTCTTAATACATGTTTGCTGACTATTGGAATTTCTCTTTCCGCCACTTCACTTGCAAGAAATCTTGCTGTCTGCATGCTATCTTCTGAGAGAGAAATTATAAATGTTTTCTGATTAGTTCCACTATTCAGAGCCCATTCCTAAATCAGCACAGGAAACAGCTAAGCGAAAACTTCTGCCTCTTTCTTCCTCCAAAGTCTGTCCGTATCATATTCTTTCTTTCTCCAAGTTTTTCTTAGGCAATGTCTAGACAGTTAAAACAAAAAGACTCTGAATTGTACTAGAAATAATTTATCCTTTAGGATCTCCTCCTTTCCTATTTCTTTGCCTAAATTTGGTTATCCTGAGTGCTGACCGAGAAATATTCCCTACACAGTGGGCAAGATGTCAAGAGGTCTAGGTGGTCTTCACTTCGCATGAAGGATGCTGTGGGAAACTTATTGGAATACCTACTCAGCTTTTTTTCTGGGAGTAACTTTGCTTTCTCTATATGTGTATGTCTTGAAGGCTATCCTTACCATCATCTGGAAGAGACAATAATTGTGTTACCCGTGAGTGGTAGCCAGCTTTGTGGAAGTCCCTATCTTCTTTCCTTACCTCCCCCAAATAAATATCACGTACAAGTCACCTATTAGTTTGTTACTGACTGTGTTAGGGTCTCACCATCCCTTATTGGGATCACTACAGTAGTTTACTGACTTAAATCTGGGAAAAAGGATTATTTGATAACATATTCCAGGGAAAGACAACTTCTTTCTCCCCCATTTCTCAAAAGTCTATTTACGCGGGACCTCTCAGAAGGACACCTACAGGATATGATGTTCCCGTATCGATTCTTATTGCGGTTTTCATCTTCCTTGGCTGTGTCCCACGAAGCTGTCTGCCCCTCTGGTAAGGCCTACAAAGCAAAGACAGAGTGTTTAATAGTCTGAGATGGAAACTCTACCCAAGTTAGATGGACCAACAGCAGGGAATGAGAACTCACTGTGATAGGACACTCAATATAAAGAGATGTGTGTCCTGCAGGGGCCTTCCATGGATTTGCTTGCTTATCATTGACTCACACATTGTTATGTCTTTTCTGTGTCATGAACTTACAGTCTGGCCCAGTAGGGAAGTCATTCATTCATTTATTCATATACTCGACAGATACTCATTGATTCCCTAATATATCTGGGGCACTGGTCTAGATCCTTGGAGTCAAGAACTTTTGAGTATCTAATAGACTGAGACATGTTAGAAATAATGAAGTAAATATAATTTTAGGTACTAAAAAATGATGAAGAAAGTAAAACAGAATAATAAATGGTGATGAGGGATGATACCCGTTTCAGATAATGGTTTAGGGCATTTTCTGTGAGAGAGTCATATTTAAAGTTCATTTCTTCATGGGATGAATGAGTCAGTCACACCCAGGAAAGTGGAAAGTGATTTTCAGGTAAAAAGAATAGCAGGGGCAATGGTCAGAGAGTAACCAAATGACCACATTCAAAGATGAAGGTGATGCGGTGGTGGGGGTAGGGGTGGGGCTAAAGATGGGAGCCTTTAGAGAGGATGTGAGAATCCAGATGATCCAAAGCATTGCAGCTTCTGGTTAAGACAAAGAGTAGTATTCTACATGTGGTGGGAAACCCTTGAAGCATTCTGAGCAGGGAGGTCACATCACCTCACCTGGTATACAAACGTGTGCTCTAGGAAGACCAGGGAAGAAGTGAGGCAATTAGGTAGGACTTAATCCAATCATACAGGCAAGAGATGATGGTCGCATGGACCCGTGGAGCAGACGGTGAAAGCAGACACAAGAACAATGGTTATTTTGTAGAACTGTATTTGGCTTAGGCTGTTGCTGCAGAAGCAGACCCAGAAATAAGGATTTCAGTCCAAGTAGTTGGTTTGGGAGACAATCAAGGAGTATGGATAGGAGAATGGGGGCCTTGAGACAATCAAGCGAATGAAGAGGATATATGGAAGATTACCACAGTACCACTGTGTATAGCTGGGACTTAACACATGGGCACATTTCAAGCTCAGAGTTTTTGCACCAGAGGTGAGGATGAAGGTGGGAGGGTGGTGCCTGCTTATCCCCTGTTGCCCATCTACTACTGTTGGAGGACAAGTTTTGTAAAACCCTAGCACCTTTGCCGTGCTCTTTAGGCAGAGTGTATATTTTTTTCTCTTGAGAGAAACCATAGGTGCTTACAGAAGGACGCCATCAGGTGGGGGTATGCATGGGGACCATGGAAGTAGTGTGGACATGTTCAGGGCAGTAACACATCATCTGCTGTAACAGGGAATCTGTACAAAAGAGGAATAAAGGTCAGTCCTAGGTCAATGGTTTGAAGAGCCAGAGAAATGTCATTTATTGAAATGGAGAAATCTGAGGGAGAAACAGGATGGAGGGGGCAGGAATTAAGTACTACGTTTTGGCCATATAACGCTCTTAAAAGACTGCCTACTGCTAGGTACTGTATACTTTTTAAAAAATATACATTTTATTTATTATTTTTATTTTATGTGTATGAGTATATTACCTGAATGTAAGTAAGTGCACCCGTGTCGTATAATGCCTGCGGAGGACATAAGAGGCCATTGGATCCCCTAGAACTGGAGTTATGGACAGTTGTTAGCTGCCATGTGGGTGCTAGGATTCGAACCTGGGTCTTCTGCAAGAGCAACCATTGTTCTTAACCGCTGAGCCATCTCTCCAGCCCTGTACTGTGTACTTTTTAATATGTTAGTGAAAATGATAGTCGTATTAATGGTACCCAAGTTTATAAGACATCTAAGCTGAGATACGGAGTAAGAAGTTCAATACAGACATCCAGAGCTTAAGGGGGAGGGAGGAGACAGGAGTCATCAGTCAGTTTAAGAAAAAGGCAACCACAGTAGTGACAGGCAAGTAAACAACTGTGTGGGATGGTTTATAAGATCTATGAGCCAAGTGGTCTAGAGCACAGGGGACAGACCATCAGCCCCATTATGGAGAGGAGAAATGGATGTTTAAAGAGGTCCCAATAGCTTTAGGAAACCTGTAGCAGCAGGCAGGACAGGCCATATTTTGATGACTTTCTCTATCCTTCTCCCAGGGGAACAGTTTGAATACCTTGCCCATGGCCCTTGCATTACTTATGACACTGAATTTACAACTTCCAATAGGCACAGCTAAGGTGAAGATCTTCATCTTAACACACTAGCCTTGGCTTTGCATACCTATTTCTCACTAGGTCTATCCTAAGCAAGAAGAAGCTGTCATCAAAGCGGCCAGAAATTCATCCACTCGGCAGACCATGCCGTAGAGACAGGCAGGACCACTGTGTGTGAAAGGGCCAGTGTTCATGCATGGTCCACCTTTACTGCTTCTAGTCTTGCATGTGCTCTGCCAGCCTGGGTGGGTCTTTTGTAGAAGGGCTTGCTGGGGGGGGGGAAGCAAAGCAGGCACAGGACTCTGGGTACCTGGGTACCAAGTATCTCTATAGTCATCTTGCCCTTGGCTTAGGTGATCTCTGGACAACAGATGCTATTTGCTCCTGCACCTAACTTACCTTTCATCCTGTCTTCTGACCCGACAGCCCCACCTCTCTCAGTCAGCATGCCAGGTCTATTGCTGTGTGTCATAGGTCTTTGGATTTCATGATGTTTGGACCAATATTTTGGAAGTAGACTTTCTACCTGAAAGTCTCTATAACAAAAGGGAACTGCCCAGCCCCAAATAGTTGCACAGAATACTTCCAATATTTCCATACTAATCCCTTAGGAGGAAAAGTGTTTAGTACCTGCTATGTGTCAGAATTTGGATTACAGTTAGCTTAAGGTCTTTTTATGGCTGCATGCTAAAATTGCTTGAGGAGACTTTACAAATCCTAAAGCTAAGGTCTTGCTCCAGACTAGACAGGTCACTCTCTGTGGTAGGACATGGGTATGGGCAGTGAAAGCGCCCACAGGGTTCTACTCTGTAGCCATGACTCTTGCAAATGGTGAACTGACCTGGTGAAACACTCTCTCATGAGGCTCCCCCCACCTTTGGGTTCTGTGGCTCTGGTTTTGTTCCCTTCAATCCATCCTCCACTGAAATCAGAGAGATCTTTCTAAAATGTGAGCAGCACCAGTTATCCTTTTTAGCATAGGAATAAATTCCAAAATCTTTAACAACTGGTCCTTTATGACTTCACCCAAAATGCTCTTTCATACATACTTCTTGCCCGTATTCTGATAAACCATTGACAAGGTTTTCCAGATTTCTGAGGTAAAGTCTTTCTATCTGAAAGTCTCCCCCACTTGGATCTTCCTGATAAATCTCTGTATATCATTCAAAACCAAATCCAAACATCTCCTGTGTGCTACGTTCTCTGTTCACCCTTCTTTTTGGCACCCTCAGCTAGAATCAGTTACCTCTATTATTACACGAACATGGCTGCATGTAATAACCTAAAGATTGATCTTCCAACTTGGCCATGGTCTTCCTCTGAGAAAGGATACCATCTTTGTTATGATGCCATCTCCAGGGCCCACTGCTGGGGTCTATACTGGAATGACTAATATATGACATGGCTTCTATGCCTTTAGAAGGCAAAGATCTTGGAACTGCAGAAATGTCTGTGAACTTGAAAACTATCTTGTCCACAGTGGTCTTCTGGTGGCTAATCAGCTAACCCACAGCATCTATCACTTGAACACCCTTAGTATCAGATGGCTCACTGTCCTACAAAGCTTTCTACCTATCTTCTGAGCAGCATTTCTGAATGGTTTTCTCTTTACTTTGACCCCGTGCTTTCCCTTGGCCTGCCTCTCTAAGCCCCACAGAATAAGCATGAACCCTCTGTACTGTAACATTGCAGAGACCTGATGAAGGCCCATCTTGCCACTCCTAGAGTCCTTAAAGACTTCAACATCAAAGCCATGGCCACTGGGACAAGCCCAGCATATCCTAGGTAATCCTACACCCGACACAAGGGTTGTGATGATTGAAAGGTACCTCTCCCTGGGAAAACATACAGGCACCTGCTAGAGCTCCAGAGCCTCAGTTCCTTCACAGTGGGGCCAAAGGAGATGGGGGAGGGCTATGATGACGTTGACAAATGCAGACAAGGTGCTGCCTTACAGAGCCACCCAGGAGGAGGTCGTAATGACCTCTTAATTGGCAGACTTTGATCACCCATCTGTTTCCCCTTCTTAGGAGCTGCAATCTAATAGGGGATAATCTCTCCAAGGAAACAAATCTGAGGGGGTAAGAGCATGAAAGTCATCATCTCTGACTTCAAAGCGAAGGAGCCAGGGGCATTATTTTTACATTAGTGGCTAGTTACAGTAGATTGACCAGGGAATGGTGGCAGTCATTAGGAGCTAATCACATTCTTTTGAAGCCAAAATTGCCATCTCCTTATGCTCCTTTGTTAACAATTTCCATTTTTCTTTTCTGGGCCTTTTCTCCCTAAAATGTGGAGCTCTATTTTTACATCCCCCCTCTGAAATGTTTAGCACTCTTCCCTAGTGCCCCATCCTGATGGCAGTCATGTCATGTTTGGGGATGTTCTTGTCCCTGGAGAGCTGAGCCCTGGTATTCAGAGTCCTCAAAAGTCAGATCTCAGGTCTTCTGAGAAAAATATTACTTTATTTGATAGCCTCGCAAAATGAGGTCCAGTGGCAGGAAATGACTCGTTCAGGACTGCTCTTCCTTCCTCCTAACACTTCCTTCCACGGCAGTCATCTGAGGTGCAATGGTGGGTTCTAGAGATGATAGTGGTGGGTGTGATAGACACAGTCTCATGAATGGTTTCCACTGTGCGAAAGGGCAGACGACACGAAAACAAACAGGTGACTGCTGTTTGCAAAGAGTGCTTTGAAAGCAATGAGCAGAGTCCTTGAGTAGACAGGACGAGTGACAAGGAACAACTCAGAGAA